CTACCATTCACACCCAGCTTCTTAAAATTCTTTTATTTTTAAAAAGAGTTTTAGATGTTCTGGAGTGGAACTCAGGTCCTGTCTGCAAGGCAAACGTTTTACTAAGTGAGCCACTTCTGTATCTCCTGTGGGTATTTTTATTGGTCCTTGAATTCTGTATTCCTAGCCCAGGCTCTACAGGGAAAGTCGACTAACTTGTGACAACAAGAAGGAGGTAAAGATAAAAATCAGAGTGGGCAGGAGGAAGTTAGAGGGGCTAACTCAGGGTCCCTAAATCAGCTGGACCCTTCTGTTTCTTCCTGCCTCTTCTGGGAGTCTGTACATGTCTCTTCAGAGCACCAGATTGACTCCTCATTGGAAGCAAAGCCTGATCCCCTGACTTCACACACCCATAAACACAGATCTTTTTCTCATGCCTAAGGGAGAAGTGCAGGAGACAGCCTCCTCCCAGGGAGCCCCACTGAGCAGGGTACAATACCTAAACACTGTTAGTCAGGCTCATTGTGGACCTGTAGGGGGAGGAGGAGGCCCAGCAAGCTCCTGTTAGCATCTCAACTGGATGGAGTCACCAAAGGAGTAATGACACCTCCCAGCATCACTCAGTGAGCCAATCAACAGCCTGGAAAGCTGGGCAGCTGGTGATGATCCCTGGAATCTCCTGGGTACCATTGTTGACCTCTGCCTTGACCTTCTTGCCAAGACTAAGTAATTGAGCAAGGATAGTAACACATGCATCCTCCAAGCCTCACAGCACCCTCTTCAGGGCCAGAGTGGAACTGCATCCTCTTCTCCACCCCTGGGGTCAGCAGAACCAGGGCTTGAGCACTGGCTGCCCAGGACCTCCTCCATTCTCATTGCAGTGGACATAGCAGGCATCGCCAAGTCCATTTCACAAGCTGGGATACTGAGGCTGCGAAAGGGCTTTGCCATTCTTCCAGCAGCTTCTCTCCCGCCATTGCTGCCTGCCTCCCTACAGCCTCTCACTGTCCCCATCTCCATTATTACTGTCTTTCTGCTTCCTGTCCTGGCCATCAGGGAAGGACAGCACAGGAGCCCAGCACGGTGCTAATGGAATCATTTCACTTTACATTGTCATGGAATTTTTGATGTGACTGTTACATGGGGAGGTAGGGAAGGTCAGGTGGATACTTTAGACTTTATATCCTGCTCCATTGGGAACCCAGTATGTCCAGTCCCACTCCCAAAGGAGTTTAAGGGAAGCTCTGATAACTGGGCTCTGCTATGGGGCAGAGACCTGTGGGGTGGATTGGGCTCAGCTCCAATGTGTCAGGTTGTGCAACTTTGGGCATCCAGCTTCTACCTTCAGAATGATCAGGAGGCTAGCAAGAAATGCTTTGAACTCTTTAGGACCAAGGTCTTGGAGGAAACCGGCAGGAAACAAATGCATGTTTGTTTATAGGCAGCTGAAGCTTTAAAAACTAGTCTATTTCCCTTGTTAATGGAGAGCCAAGGACGCCAGGGCTTCACCTCGGCAGCTACCCTCAATGCACATAAAGTCTCAGCCTTATCCAGAGGCTCTTCGGGGACTGCAGCTCACAGAAGACCTGAGACACGATCGGGGTCAAGGAGACACTCTCCTGGGTAGTAAGATCTGTGCTTCAGTTCTTGGCTAGAGAGAGGAACTCACAGAAAGGATTGATTTTTTTAAAATGGCAGGAATTCCTAACAATAATGGTACAGATTTGATTATGGAGGAGGACCATCCAGTAGGTACATATTTGCACAGAATCCACCCGGATTGACTGATTGGAGAGACTGGCTGGAGAGCTGGAGGCAGCTATTTGACATAGATTGGACTCTGGTGCTTCTGCCTTCACCTGTGGACACATGTGCAGATGAGTAACTGGGAGTCTGAATTCTGTTCTGCGCATCCTTAGAGTCTGACAGAGATTCTAGAGGTGGAAACGGCCATATTGAGTCATTGTTATTTCTAACCACAAATTTAGGCTAAAGGATTTCTTCAGACATGAGTGCTCCCATGCTACAATGTTCTGTGTGTTGCAGGAGTCACCAGCATGTCTTGGGAACCAGTTGGGGAATCTTCTGAGCATGGTACTTGCAGCTATACCTTGTGAGAGGGAGCCATCGCAGGGCTTGAGGCTGTTGTCTCACAGGTGCCACCTCAGATGCAGAAGTCATCAGACAGGATAGGGAGGCCGGAGACAAACTGAGGAGATCCCTTTATAGAGGAAGAGGCAATTGTGCAGACCTTACAATTGAGCTCAGAGAGGAGAGTGCCCAGCAGGACCAGCCAGGGCTATGTGGTGCCATTGGATCCAGACAATCTGCTGTTGACTGTGACCCAGGAGTACTCCTGCAGGGACCTTGTCTTTGAGTCAGTTCTCTCCTCATGCACCAGTAGTGGCTACTTCCTGGCATAGCCAGGGCAACAGTGCTTGCTAGTTCCCAGAGAAGCATCCCTGTGTTCAGGTGAGCACTGGGTCATTGGGACCTGCATGTGGAAGGAAGTTTGGACAGAAACTAGTAAGACTCCTCTGCATACTGTCCATCCTGTCATTAATTCACCCAGTGCCAGAGGACAATCAGAGACACATTACTGACTTGAGTCAGGCCTGAATTTTGTACACTGTTTCCAGTTAGAAATGAGACATTTATGTAGTTTCAAGTATTCTGCAAGCACTGGTTGACTTAGTGTACCAACAGCCAGGAAGGTGTGTGATGCCCAGCGCAATTCCTAAATGCCCAGTCCCCAAGCCTGCAGTTTCCTGTGGGGCTAGGGATGTCCTCATTCTGCCATGCTGGCACAGGCCACTCACAGGAGGTTGGAAGGGGCTGGAAGGGCAGAAAAAGATCCTACCTCACCACTAAGTTCATAACACAAATAGGTACTCAAGTCTCCTCTGTACCTCACTCTTCCTGATTCCTGAGCCCCAGCATGGAAACAAGAAACACAGTCTTAGGGCAAGAAATGTACATTTCAGAAATGTACACCAAGGTCCTAAGTTGATAGCATGGCGTGCAGAGGGTTCTTCCTGAAGATATGACATCCATTGGCCTGGCACTTCCTCTCATCATGTCTATTGGAGTGGAGAAGCCAAGATGCCCTTACAGCGTTTACATCTGGATACCATGCTCTGCCATTCCATACCCCAGGGCCTGACCCTGTTCTGAGTTCTCAGTGCTCTTCCCTGAGATGTAGCCTTGGTTTTCCTTCTACTCAGGCACTGGCCCCATTGTGAGAAAGTGGTCAAAAGACCTGAGCACACTCCACTGGAATACAGAGGGTACTCATGCCCAAGCCTACCACTCCCTGGCTGCAGAGATTGGCGACATAAAGAAGCCAAAAGCTTTATACTAGGACATCTTTAAAGATCTTGTAAGGGTAGCTCAGGAATCTGAGACCCTTCCATCAGTGTGACAGGTTTACACATGAACAGCTTCAGTGCTTGTGAGATTAGGGTTCTCCAGGCATTGGTAATCTGTCAGGTATGGTAGGGGTTGGGATTGGCAATGTTAGGGGATGTCCCTGTGGTAGAGCACATCTGGTCTGTGTCAGTAGAACTTGTCCTCTCACAGAGAACATCTCTTCTTCTCTTTTCCAACACACATCCTCCTTCTGCCCCAGATCTGACTTGTTCACTGAAGGACACTTGCCTGAGATAGGACATAGTGGAAAGACACTGCCCTGTGGATCTAAAGAGGAGAATGTCACGACAGGAAGAGTGAATGCCTTGTATGATACAATTACTGTCCTGGGGGTTAGGATGGACCTGTGGCTCCTCACAACCCTGGGATCCAGCCCACGCCACATCTGCAGGCCTTCACAGGGTTACCATGCTTACCTCTGTGGAAGTGGGTCAAGCTGACGGTACCTAATGTTCTCCCTGGTCCTTCTGATAATGCTTCTGGGTCCAGAAGGACCCAAAGTCCACCCTCAGCTTCTACACTTCCCCCTTCTGGTACCTTAGAACTTGGTCCCTTCAAAGGCACTTTTAATGATCTGGTGGTTTGGGCCACCACCAAAGTTACTCTTCCTAGGGCTTTGGAACATCACAGGGCCAATTTTCCCATGTCAAGAAGATGCAGGAAAAATCTCTGAGGTCATCTTTCACAAACATCTGTTTTATTCTCTGCATCATAACAAACATGTCAAGAGGCCTTCCGTCCTCTACTAAGAGTGAGGCAGGAACGTGCACCGAGAGGAAGGATCTGATGTGACCCAGGGCAGGCAGAGGGCCACCTGTCTCTACCAGCTTTGAACAGGCTTTCAGCCACTGCCCTGAATAGTGATGCCTTTGAGGTAGGACTTCATCCCTCCTGCCACCTGGAATTTCATCACTTCCTCTCTTCCTCCTGGCTGGACCCTGGGCTCAGAGCTAAGTAGGAAGGACCCAGAACATGATGGCTTTCCACGAGGCTCCCTCCTGCAGGTCAGTGTCTACACCTGGGTCCTCTCCAACGCTGTGACTGTAGAATTGTAGCATCCAGCATCTTCTAGTGATCTTCTAAAAGGCAACAACACGTGTGAGAGGGACTCTGGGAGCCTCAGCTGCACAGGACATTACCCTGTTCCACACTACTCCCCAAGCTGCCTCCTCCTGTCTGAACCTCTTCCTCCAATCTTCTAGCTCCCACTCCACACCACCTTCTCCTCCCTCAGCATCTTCCTCTTCCTTCTCCTACTTCCTCCTCCTAGCATGGTCTCCTCCTATCTTCTTCTAGTTCAAAGGTTTTTAGATTTCCCATGCACAGGATATGCATGGGAGTGGCCTGGGATGCTAGATATGTTGGTAGGTTCCATTTAACCATCATCCCATGGTGTCTAGACCTAGCTTACCCATGCATCATAATAGACACACACACACACACATACACACACACACACACACACACACACACACACACACACGATTATAATCTGCCAGTTGACACAGACAGGAGTAAAATAGATACATTCAAATACAGAAATGTACCTGGGCTGGGCTGGATGCTTGTTCTCCAGACGCCATTCTGGTGTTTTATATTTGCGGGAAGACTCTCTTCTCCCCCAGGAGACGTGGGGAGACACTCTTCTCCTCCAGGCAATCTGTGTTTCTTTCTGGTATGCAGCAACAGAGCTTCCTGAGGCCATTTCGTATCTTCCTGGCCCATCCCCTGAAACCTAGGGACTGGCCCCTGCTGGGGACCGGCTTGTGCTCTGCTGAGGCACTGGTGCTGCTGCTCTCTCCTCCCAAACCCATTGAGTACTTGCAGGGGAGACTCCCAAAAGGTATGTGAGCTTGGCCCATTGTAGGTGTTGTCTGGAGTGGCCTACGGGGAAGAACACCAGGCCAACTGACTCTTCTCTCTTCTCTCTTCTTAGCCTTCTGGCCTTGAGTAGACATTTGACTGTTGGAGGAGGAAGAAATCAAGATGGGCTCACTTTTTCTCCTTAATCCTGGGCAGAAAGTAGCAGGATCATCAAGGGAAGGGTATGGTGTTTTCCATGGATTTATGGGTTGAGCCCGGGTAGGGCTGTCACACTCCTGAAGAGCCTGTTCTTTCAGAAAATAATATGAGGCCATGGCCTGATTATATTTTCTTTGCGATATAGAATCTTTAATGTCTTCTGCTTGGAATCCAATGGCTTTCATTGCTTTTAATATAGCTGAGTCCAACCTGAGGGGGATCTGTTTGCCACAAGGTTCTCGGAAGCTGTCTGAGTCTTTCTTAAGCCAAGGATGTAGCATAATGTCTTTGATTGTCGGTCTTTGGTTTGGATTCACTGTTAAAATATAACGGATGAGATCCTGGAGCTCAATGGACAGGCCACGGGGGATAGAATAGTTTCCGAGCATAATCTGCCGTCTTAACTGGGCTGTGTTGGTAGCATCAAAAGGCAGCCTTCCGGTTG